GCCAATTAACCTATGGTAACAGTCATGTTTTTGGACTGTGAGAGGAAGACGGAGTACCTGGAGAGAACCCATGCATGCACAGGGAGAACATGCTGAAAGACCCCAGGCTGGGAATCAAACCTGCAACCTTCTTGCTGCAAGGCAGCTGTGGTATCCACTGCATCACCGAGCAGCCCCAAATTGTTGTATTGAAAGCTTAATTTAATAACTTAGAGAATAGTGTTTCGAAAAAGGCATTCAAATGAGCTATAATCTTTAAGCATCACCTTGAAAAGAACCATCCTTGTCTCCACGTCTGCTCTATTGTTAAGTGTTTGATATTTTTGGGTCCTCTATCCTCTTTTTCATTTTGCCCTGTTTTCAATCCTCTTCTTCATCTTTAAGAGATTTTTGACATGAGTTTAGTTATTAGATGATATGATATACTGCAAATATTCAGAGGAAAAGACCCACAGAAAACCTCAAGGCCTGCAGATTGAAGCCAATTTAAAGTATTAAGCCAAAAGATCTCAATGAAAAAAAGGAAAAGATAAAGAATCATTTGGAGACTGAAAGTGTTTCTATATTTCCTAAAAGTATATTTATGTGCAGGCCATGTGGTAAATCTATGGTTTGGTGATTGACCTTTCTGTAAATTCTAATTTAGCTAATATCCTTATTGTCCATTGTCATTTTTAATGTGAGGGCGTTTCAAGGTTTGACACAATATGCTGCAGAGTTCTACACTTGCTTGGATAAATCTTGTAAAGTAAAATAGAAATCTAGGACATTCACTCCTCAGGGGGATCTGGGAGACCTCCATAAGGTCCCTGTGGGGTGTGGAAGGACTCGGGTAAAATAAGATATAGGTTAAATCCCGCATTGAAATTACCCTCAGCAGGGAGCTACAGATTTCCTCTCTGTTCTCATTATAGCAAGCTTTAAATATTACCTCCACCCCTTTTCAATATTACGAGTTTCATAAATCTTAATGGCAGATTTATAAAAAAAAACATATTTTCTTCTAATAAAAATGCTTCTGCCAGAGTACAGATCCATCCATCCATCCATCCATCCATCCATCCATCCATCCATCCATCCATCCATCCATCCATCCATCCATCCATCCATCCATCCATCC